TACGCCATGGTAATTTGACCATTGACCAACAAGTTTTGTATTATTCTTTATAATAATATTCATTATATAAATAATTATTAATTATTAGATATTTTATTGTGTTTTAGTAAAGTAAAATTTTTTTYATTATTACTATTATTATTTAATCAGCATCAATTTGACCATGGCTTAATGTAGTTGTATAATTAATAATATATAAGCATGATGTTTACTTTTACTAATGTTGCTGAAATAAATGGTTTAAAAGTACCTATTACCTATATTGATTGATATTATTGTTTCAGGTACAGTAGTTGCCAGTTGGTGGTATTAGACCTTATATAGGTTTATTCATTTACAATTGCAATTATTACTTATCAATTATATTWCTACTTTTTGTGAAGTATTCTAAATACTTGGAAATATTATTATTATAAAGTTTTTACCCAAGTCTGCATTTTGGGGTTTTATTTTAATCAAATAACAATCAAATAATTTGGTACAAATTTTATGTTAAACTTAAACTTGATATAGCAATTTTTTTGTTTTTAGGAAAAATTACTTGTTTTGAATTTTTGTTTTAGYATAAAAATATTGGGTGGGATAGTGTAGTTAAATAATAAAAAAAAAAAGAGTGTGGATTAATAATAATTAATAAAAAGTTATCAATTTATATATATATATATAAAGATCTACAGTGAATGTTTAGAAAACTTGTTAATTTGCCTTCATCTAAATCTATGTAACATGTTAAGTGTTCATTAACATGAACAAAATGAAGATAATATAGGTAGTCGTTCTGGGAAGGATATGATGAAATATTAAATGTATAGGACAATATAAACAATGATATTTTTACTTGATAAAATGTTCTAGAATAAATTTTATTTTATAATTCTATGTTTTAGATTGTACATACAAATTTATGATTTTTAAGAAAAAAAAATTGTTGGTATAAGATAATTAGTAATTTTAAGATTATTAATTTAGTTCATATATCATGTATGGTTTTTTAAAAATATTAATTTTAATGAGCTTCTCCCGCTTTGCCAGAAACACGCTTGAAATCACCCATATTAGTCATGGATGWAGGCATTCCAATAAGATCCAAGCTATCTATTCTTGTTACTTCTTCATCAGTTTGATTGTTTTCAACAAATATCTGCAGATTATAGACGTTTTGAAATTTTACATACTTCAAGTTGACTATTTTACCATCTAATTCATCAGGTTGTAGTTCCAGTTCTTGAGTAGCTAAATTACATGTTGCAGCATCAAAATCTATGGTGATTGGATGGTTGATAAATAACTTCATTGATTTTGGKCCATTATCTTTAGGAGCTTTAATCTAAATGTTAAATAAAAGAAACATTGTGTTAATATATTTAAATACGATGTATAAAAACAATCAAAAATTATWAACTACATCTAAATATTTGTTTATTTTYAAGTAATATAATTCCATTGATAGACTTTATTTCTCACAATAGAATTCAGCAATTTTAATTGATTTATTTAAATGTTTTCTGTTTACAGTTGAAAGAAATTCATTATTTAATTTAGACATTAAAAGTATTCATTAAATGGATCAAAGTGCAAAGTAACTGCTAAATSTGATAAAAATTATAAGATCATACATACTCCTATTGCACATTATGTAATATAGAGTCAGTTTACTTAGATACATGTATACTTAAGCAGCCATTAGCCAGATTGGTGTTGTACTTAATTTTATTTCTATTTAAGAGTTTTTGATTTTTCTTAAAGGCCAAAATAGTTATATTTTTATAAAACCTCTAAGGATTGTATTTCTAGACAGGTTTACCTCCTATAATAGATTTACTGTAGGTCATTATCATTATACTTTTATTGAATAAGCAACACTTAGTTAGATTGATTTTAATATTTAATTAAACTTAGCGAACATGAATCGTGAATGTAAAATTAAACAAGACTGCTAGTGACGCATATGTAATTACTGTTGGCAATAGTCATAAAAAAATGTTTACTTATCTTAATTTAGTTTAACAGTTAATGACCAGGTGGCAATAACACCAATTGTTATATTATTTATTACTGCCTATTATTAATAGATTACTCACTTTAAGAGAATGTATTTTGACAGGTTGCTTGAAAGTCAACGATAAAATAAGTTGCTGATCGCAATCCGATTCCATATAGCCTTTGTTCTCGATTAGCTCCGACAATGGATGGTCATCTGAATCATTGAGAGCTTCGCACTGAGTTTTCATGATGAACGAGTTAAGAAAAATCTGACCTGGTACTCCACAGTCTTCGCCAGAAGCGGAAAAAGATGTGTCGTACAATTGTACGATTTTCGATTCGACGGCTACAATATCGGCACCTTGGACTCTTCCCACTTTAATCTTATTGCGGTACATTATGAAAGTCGGCATGGCCGACACGCCTTGACTGGTAGATGTTTCTTGGCACCTGTCAACGTCTACCCTAAGGAACACTGCACGGTCATACTTTTTCGAAAGTTCTTCGTACATAGGCTTGATACGTTTGCATGGACCACACCAGGAAGCGGAAAAATCCACGACAACCAGCTTCATGCTGTTCGCATTTAATTGTTCACGGAACTGGGTATCATTCTCGATTTCTTTGACGACCATTTTAGTTGTTTAACAAGATCCTCAATTAAAATAATGTAGATTTGGAAAGACTAATGAACAAAGCCACAAAGGATGCTATTATACCGGGAAACGGCAGACATGACAGTATGACGCACAAAGATACAGCCGAATTGTGTTGTAATCACTAATCGGGGGTCATTGTCCATTAGCAGGTTAGGAAATTTCGGGAAAAATGCTCGATGCCCAGATAAATCCTGCGCAGGATTAAAGRTGGTTCCAGTTCCACAGCTGTTTTGGTAACTCGGTCTGACGGTCTCCATATTATCACGGGATATTTTAAATAGTGATCCTGGACTTTGTTGACTGTTACATCCACAACACGATATAGAAAATATAAGGTGATAACACTGCCGAAAAAACTGACGCTCATTTAAATGATAGCCTATTAGTTGGAATATATTCCACYGGAAGCGCTACAGTATTCAAAGATTTACTTTTTGTTTTTTTCGTGATGTATTATAATATTATTATATTTAAGTAATGAAATATAATACACCTTAAAACGGAACAAAATTCTTTAAGTATTTTAAAGAATAAACATTAAATTATAAAATAAGCATATATATATTTTATGTGACGGGCATAATATACAATTTGGTCATTTTATACAATGCCCGTACGTTATATAACATGCCCTTCGTATATTGGRCAATCTAGATAATACTATTTAATTGTAAAATATAGTCAAAATACCAAGACTTTCCAATCTTTAAATTTGGATCAGTTTATTGGTTTATTCTTATTGACTTATCGAGCAGTCCCATATTTTATGATTGCAGTGTTTATCGTATAATGCAGCGGTTCCCAAACTGTGCACTTTGATGGTGTACGGCTGATAACAAATAATTCAAAATGTATAGATTTTTTTCCATAAATTCGTAATTAGCGAGCATTTATTATTTTTGTCCTGACTTATGATATGACGTGTTAAAAGTTGCTGATGTTAACAAGYTAATTGTACCCGTATCTGAAAATAATGAAATAAAATATTATTTAAACAACGAAGAGTTATTTGATATTATACACGATGTTCATTTATCAATTGTACTATGTGGATAATTAATTCAAAATATAATGAATAAAATGCATAATAACAGTTAAATATCAGGTATTATCTATATTGCCCAATACATGAAAGGCATTGTATAAAATGACCAAGTTTTATACCTACTTTGTCAGTAACATTTATAATGCAATAAAACATACCGCATACCTAATTTATTTAATGTGTTGACGTAAATAATTAATAACCATGTGACGTGTGTGGCTGTGTAGGCACTGTGTAGGCACAAAAAACTCGAATATTTTGGATGAAATAGTCTCCCTCCATTTTAATATATTATACATAATACCTATTACTATTCTACATCCTAATAATACCTTACTATGGGTACCATACCTATACCTATTATACGAGTAAACATTCAACGTATCAAAAACTATTTTGTGCAGGGCAACTTTAATACCTCTGTATTTATTGCAAAATTACCAAAATTCCTCAACGCATYGGGAAGAACTTTGTTTGGGCATAGCATTTTTATTTTTTAATGCACTAACTAAAAAAAAATATTATTTTAAATAATTAATTTAAAAAAATCTTATTTTATTTTTTATGYTACCCAAATAATAAAAACGCTACAACACGGATAAATTTCTTCCCTAGGAAATTTTGATATTTCTAGAAATAAATACAGAGGGTGTGAAATTGTAACGCACTTAATAGTTTTTGATATGTTGTATGTTTGTAAAATGGATACAAAACATGCGGGTGTGGTGTCCTCTTAATCACAGTTACAGCAAACCTTAGCATTAAATAAACTTAAAAATAGAATAAATTTATCTTGAAATTTAAAATAAACAAGAGTTGGTCATTTTGATTATATTTTCGAGACTGTTTTTCATAAGTGAATTAGAATAATACTGGATAAATGTTTTATTTCAAATTTTAAACTTGGTTATGTCAGTAAAATTAGAAAAGTATAATATTAGGTATTTCGAGCTCCAAAGGTATTATACAAAAATATAAAATATAGGAAAGTTGAAATTAAAAAGAGGTAAAATAACAACATGTAGAGATAAGTCCATAGTCCATCCATAAATTAACCTTATATTATAGGCTCATTAAGCTCCATAGAAAGAATATGGCATATTTTTTTTTACTTTAGAATGAGTAGAACAATTATTTTTAAATTTTGGAACCTAATATTGTCTGTAATAAATTTCATATACACTTAACAACTTAGGTACTTAAAGGCATGAAATTCCAGACACGAAGACATGAATAATTTCAATTTAGACTTTACTCAATATAGTATCAATATTCTTTAAAATACTTGGTTATATATATCATCGTAGAGTATAGATATAGAACCTTAAATTTGACTCTGCAAGTATATAATCTGCACTTTCACATACTTAAAWTTTTTTAATATTTTAGTTAAATAAGTAAGTTTATTAAAAAATTATGATTAATTGACAAGATTTAGTACAGTAGTTTTATTTTAAGCTTAATTGAAAACTGATAGGTACATGGTAATTTTATATACTTAATTAATTTTAATGTTTAGGTGGTTACCTAAGATTTGTTAGGATGAAAGGCTAGTGATTATAGGATATGTGTAAGAATTGAAAATTTCGGGTTTTTTGTAGGTGAGCATAGCAAGATTGTTTGAAAATGAAATGCAAATTTAA